AATGCAGCCTGGGCTGGCGGCATCACAGAATACTTTAACATGATCAGTTCCCTAACAGCTAGTGTTTTAGAGGAAGCAATTTTTTTTTTTTAAAGTATGGGGAGCTCCTACTGCTAAGTAGATTCACAGAACAAAGCAGTCTTGTTGTTTTCAAGAAAGAAATGGTTAATGGGAAAATGGCTCCAACAACCAATCAATAATCTCATTGCAGACAAAGTACCTGTGAAAATTACTTGAGCAGTGGCTGACCTTGCAAACAAGTTTCTTGGACAGTGGTTCTCAGCTGAGGCTGAGTTTTTATTTTACCTCAGGCAACACTTAAATGTCAAGAGGTACTCTGGGTTGTTCCAAGGCTAGGGTTGCCGGTAAACAGTCTATAGTGCAAAGGAGAAGCAAGAATTGGCCAGCCTAAAATCTCAGTCGTGCTAAGGTTGATAACTACGACAATATTTTAGTTTCAGGAACTGAAAATAAAGCTTGTTTACGGAATTGTGAAAATGCTTTTGCAACACTTCCTTGATCTAGTCCTATAGCCATCATGTGAAATATAAAGAGCCAACAGTTTTATAATACTAAAACAAGAAAGTGAAACACCTGTAATCCCAGAACTTAGGAGGCTGAGGCAGGAGGATCGCTGTGAGTTCGAGACCAGCCCGGGCTACATAGCGAGTTCCAGGTCAGTATCAACTACATAGTGAGACCCTGTCTCAAAAGAAAAACAAAAAAACCAAACCAAACAAAAAAAACTCCCCAAAACAAGAAAGTGAAATGTCCTCTCATCAAGACTATGGGAAACTTGACCAGAGTCGAACACTGAAGAATTGTTATCTAATGGCTTCCACACTGCGTTTGTCCTAGAGTGGAAGGAAGATAATCCACTGGGGGTATAAAGAGAAAACAGAACTTTCTATTATACTGTCAATCTTGAAAGATTAAAATTGACTAGTGCCTTCATCTAGACTGGATGCCAGTTAAGCGCTAAGGTGTACTAAGCACCCTGTGAGAAAAGCAGTTTCTTTGGTTGATGGCGGGACCTCATCTATTTGAAACTTGGTTTCTGGCCAATTGGTTCAATTAGTCAAAACTCATTTTTTTGTTTACATTAGACCAAATTCCAAATTCGGGTAGTCAAGGGAACAAATGGGTATAGTTAAGAGGCACAGAAGGATCACAGTGATTAGATTCCAGGCAGGAATGAAAACTTTGTTAGCTTAGGCTTAAAAAAAAAAAAAAAAAAAGATGAAGTGCCTCTTTTTGGTGTTTGGGGCACAGAAAAACAGACCTTCAAAAGCAATATTCGTATTGTTTTATTAAGTATAATTAAAATCAACTCTTAAAAATTAGAGCTGAAAGAGCTTTAAAATATTTTTTACCACCTGATAGAAGCACATCAAGCACTTTGCGAGTCTGGGCGTCAGATGGCGCTCACTCTTACTAAAAGCCTGAGCAGCGCCGGAACACGTTCCACTCACAAGTCCAGCTCCGACATCAGGCAATGTAACTAGGTCTGGTTAATCTAAGTTTCCGTTCACACACCCGCGAGGTGGGAGGGAGGAACGACGGAGGACGGCCTTTGATTCTGACTGGGGGCAATGAGGTGGACCCGCTGCTGTCTGAAATAGCAAGTGCAAAGAGCACAAGCAGTCGCCGTAGGTGGGCGGCAGAACAAAACTCCCCAGCCGAGTAGTCCAGCCTCCACTACCCCTGGGAGTCCCGTAATAGGGTCGCGTCCAAAGAAACTGATCCTCCAGGAAGAAAGTGCGGTTCCTCCAAAGGACAGACTTAAGCACCCTGGGAATCCGCAGCAAGGGACAAGATTAGCTCTCGCTAAATTACGAGCAACTTCCGCCCGGCCGGGAGGCGCGGCCTCGCAGGTCACGTGGGTTCGCGGCCCGACGGCCTGCAGGGCGCTCAGGAGGACGCCGCAGGCGCCCTCCCGTGGACTGTTGCAGTCAAGCCAAGATGAGGACTTCTCTACCGCAAAAAACAGCCGAGAACAATTGCGTCGCGTCTTACGCAGTATTCTGAGGTCAAAAACCCCAAGGCGCATCTCATGGAGCTCTTTCTCTCTGTGGTACGGTCGCCCAGAGTCTTCCGCTAGACGCTGTCGGTCCCCCCGAAGAGCTCCCGTTGGTCTCGCCCGCGCCCCGCCCCTTCCAAAGCGCGCCCCGCACGCCTCGGCCGGGCCCTCACGTGACCCCTGCGCGCT